TTTTTTTAAATATATCTTTATTGATTTCAGAGAGAGGAAGGGAGAGGGAGAGAGAGAAACATCAGTGATGAGAGAGTCATCATTGATCGGCTGCCTCCTGCACGCCCCCAACTGGGGATCAAGCTCGCAACCTGGGCACGTGCCCTGACCAGGAATCGAACGGGGATCTACTGGATCCTAGGCCGATGCTCAACTGCTGAGCCACGAGCAGCCGGGCATGGTTTTGTGTCTTTAACAGCACAGACATCTTGGCCTATTTTGTGGTTCGGGCCCAGGTTCTTTTTTCTTTCCTTTTTAGCCCTCTTATTACACTGCCTACCTTTGGCAGTGAAAGGATGCGAAGCATATAATCATCTAGAATATGCACAGTAAGCTTTTGGCCTTTTAAGGAAACTTCTCAGTTTTGCTATCCAGTCCAGTTTTTTTAAGCAGTTGCTTTTTAAAAATAATTTAGATTTGAGCATTACTTTTATAAAAGTCTGTGTGGCTTTTTTTCCCCTTTTATTTTTTTTAATCCTGAATGGAGGACATTGCAAATTGTCCTCGCAGAGGCTGGGGGGCCAGTTGAATGTATGCTTACTTATCCCGGCACAGAGGGCTCAGTTCACACCATGCTTGGGCCTGGAAGGAATGCAGATGGACCACATTCATCCCTCAGACTGGCCCTGGGGACCTGGGCTTGGGACATCCTGAGGTAGCCTCACAGAGTTGAGCACAGCCTATCCCCAAATTAGGGTGGAAAACAATCAGTAGAGATTGTCTTGGGTGGAGGTGGAGGTGTGGGAGCAGAGATGCTGGGAAGAGGCATGAAGGAATGTTCTGGAATGATGATAACACTATATCTTGATAAGGGTTTGGGCTATACAGGTGTAGGCCAAAACTCTGTAAGTACATTTAAGATGTGCATTTCATTGTATTTAAACTTTACACTAAAAGAAAATTTAGCAAATGCTGAAGTTGAGTTAAATGACACTCCGACCAAGTCATTTAGGGGCAAGTGTACTACTGTCTGCAGTTTACTTCGATACCAACAGTAAGATGGATTAATGGATGGACAGAGGGATGGACGTGGCTGGATATGTGATAAAGCAAGTATAGGAGAGTCAGTGATACGATCTAGACCTGGTATATGGGAGTATGGGTAGTCACAAAACCGTAAGCTTTGCGACGTTTGCAACTTTTCATAATAAAATGTTGGAAAAAATTTTAAATACTTCAAAACTTAATTATGAACATGGTAAAAAACGTATATGGGAGAATATCTGTTGTTTTAGGGAGAAGAGAAACCCTATCTTTATTCAAACTACCTGCCTACCAGAAGGATACAGTGGAACTTGGAGAAGGAACTAGAAGGCTCATGTTCCCCCTCAAGCCCCCTTTTCCCATTCCCGTTGTCTCTCCGTGTCGTCATTTTCTGTTGCCTGCATCATCATCATAAACTTTCTGCCTTTGGTCCCTTCTCTCTCACTGCCAGTGAATCATCCTAAAGTAATCCTGTTTTGTTGTTGTTTGGTTGCTTGTACTTTTTTGCCTTGAAAACTTTTAATGGGTGCATCCATTAGAAGTCTGGGTTGCAGTAACTTAAGCCAAAAAGAGGAATCGTGTGTATTTGAGTTTAGGTCTGGATGCTGTTGGGTCTCAGTACCGAAGCCCATGTAGCCTTTTCTGAGTGCTCTGTGCTTCCCCTGTTCCGGACACCAGCTGTCTCTTCGTTGCCATGGATGAAGTGGGACCAGACCACTAGAGCAACTCTGTTTTCAAGAGGCCAGTCGCGTTGAAGCTGGAATCTTGGTCCGCTTTCCAAGTCCTGGGAGAGTTGGGGTTGGCAGGCTGTGGGGTGGGGTCTTCATGTAGGACCAGGGTCCCTCCCACTGGCCCTGCTTGTGCGCTGTGAGGTTCTCCAATTTTGTAACAGTGTGGATGTCACATTTCTGCATTTCTCTAAATTAACTCTGTCACTGCCTCCTGCCAGAGGCTGTGTGTGTAGTGGTTAAGGAGCTGGGCTCTCCGGAGCCAGACAGCCTGAGTCTGAACCCTCTGGAACTTACCAACCATGGGACTTGGGCACGAGAGTTAACATCCATCAGTCTCAGTTTTCTTTTCTGTAAAATGGCAGTGTTCATAGAACTCACCTCCCTGGAGTATTAGAGGGTTAAAGGTGAATTCCTTTGAAGTACCTATCATAGTAAATGTTTAATAAATGTTAGCTGTTACAGAGTGTGTATGATCGTTTAAATACAGAGTAGTGTGTGTGTGTAAATGAACTTTAATCTCCACCCCAGGAGCAGTTAGCACTTGAAAGACCCTGAACAGGAATCCAAGTTCCAAAGGTGGCTACGTGAGCACTTTAGGTGTTTCCAAAATCTATCTCAGAGGTTTGTTGAGCAGCACATGGGATGTTAATCATCTTTCAGTGGTGAAACAGGTGCTGTACTTGGGATATGCGGGTGTCTAGAGAGATGAAGGCCCCGTCCTCAGACCCACAGGATAAAAATATCCATCAGGCCCAGCTTGTGGACACCTTGGAGCAGAGCACGGGATCTAAAGACCTCATTGACCCCATGGCCTGGGTCCACATCGTCAGGCAGACCACAGGGTTAGTTGCCGCTGCTGCTCTCGTGTCTATTTTTTGTTTTTTATTTTTTTTAAAATATATCTTTATTGATTTCAGAGAGAGGGAAGAGGGAGAGAGACAGAAACGTCAATAATGAGAGTCATTGATCGAGCCCGCAACCCGGGCATGTGCCCTGACTGGGAACCGAACCCTGATCGCCTGGATCCCAGGTTGACGCTCAACCGCTGAGCCACGCCCGGCCAGGCTCTTGTGTCTATTTTGAGAGTGACACTTGCAGGCAAGGAGGGGGGGAAGGTCAGAGAGGGACTTCCCCCACAGCCAAGGGACAGGAAATGCAGCTGTTTTGTGTGGTTGATGAGTGTGAGCACATCTGGTAGGCTCGGGCGAAGGCTGGCTTTCGTTGTAAATGCCATCTGCCAAGGAGGGTGTGATGATGGTGCCGGGAGCTTCAGTCCCCACCTGCCTCTGACTTCCAGAAGCGGCTGACATTTACCAGAAGCATGTCAAAGTGGCTGAATGGCCAAACTGACTTACGCCAATTCATGACCTCCCGTCAGATTTACTTGAAATTCAGTTGTTACATATATTTACTGGATATTTGACCACAGTTTTACATAGTTGATCT